TATTCAGTCATTTTATATACTTTTGATATTTATATATGTGTTCATCCAACACTAATCAAGGTCATCTACATTTTAATAATGTGACCAAATCAAAAATATCTAACCAATGATAATTAACTTATAAAATCAATAAAATAGGTCATTAGGTCGTTCGTATTTCAAATAGTTGACAAAGTAAAAATATCATTCAAAATTATAATACATGTTTTCTTTTTTTGAGAACATCATACGAAAACAATAGTAATATTGATAGTCTAGAACATGAGTCAATTAAAGCTAGACCACTATGGAAAATGTAGAAGCACTGGACGGCCGTTTCGTCTTACTGTGTAACTCCTCGGCGGTGCGCATCCACGATCCTATCTTGTGAGATTCTAGCCCTGGACCTATCAGTCTCGCGCGTTAGCGCTTAACCATTAGTCAGTCAATCAGTCAGTAACAACTTAGAACTTCGTACGTACGTACATCAGTTCGAGTTGCCACACCATCTTAGCACAGAGATGCAGTTGTTGATCAAATCCCGTAGTGGTAGAGGTAGCAAGAGTATAAGCAGTAATCGGAAAGATTAGAGTTTGGAGATGTTATTTAAAGAGTATGATACAGTGAAATAAATTTGGAAAGAGGAAAAAAGGGACATGAAGAATTCAGAAGATTAGAATTTGGGAGAACACAAAGTGTGGTTGCACCTGCGCCATTGCAAACGATTTTGAGTCATGTCATTCAGGGTCTCTAACCATCAGTTGCTATCATCTCGCGGTCCCCAACCAGATAGTCTACACCTACCAACATGACTCAGTTCACTTGTCAGTGACTTCAAAGATTTGTGATATGTTTTGGTCTGGCCTCCCCTAGCTTTCTTCCAACCTACTCCTATACCACTGAACATAGCACATCGAGGTAGTCGGTGGTTGGGCATACGTAACACGTGTCCCAGCCATCTCAACTGATGAAGCTTCACTACTTCATCAATTGACTTGCCATCCTTACCTAGTACCCGTTTCCTAACAACTAAGTTACTTACTCGGTGGTCCCATGATATACGAGCAATGTTTCGAATACACCTATGATCGAATACTAGTAACTTACGAATATCCTCTACTCTTACCGGCCATGTTTAACCATTAGACCACTGAGCTGACCGACATCCAACGGTGTTAATGTCTAACTTCAACTAATCCACGAAATTGAGCGACATATCCACCATTGTCTTCATTGAGTTGATATCTCACAACAGACTCGATTGAACTCCACTGTTCACTTCTCAATAGAACTCCAAGAAATACCTCTTGAAGGTCGTCACTAGTGAGCATATGTGCTTCCAGGTTTTTCATAGTGGTCTAGCTTCAATTGACTCACGATCTCAACTATTAAAATTACTATAATATCCACAAAACTCCTTCTGATAACAACCGTAATAGTTTAAACAGACCAAGAACAACAAGGTTTTGTTTTTGCAGAACAAAACGAATTGTTTTACAGTTTCTCATCAAATGCATGCAACCCTAAATTTACAATTACTAATAATAAATATAATTAGAAACAAATGTTTGGCATCCTTTAGTTCGTGAAGTTTAGATAAATGTTCATAGAGTAACCAAAAGTTATATTTTGGGAAGTAGTTATTCAGAGTGGAACAGGTGTTATAATTACCAGTGATCCTAAAAGAGCTTATGTAAGGGTAATGAGACTAATAAGTGATTAGGTAATCATTGAATATGATGAAACAAACAAATATATGAATATCATTAAGATTATGTATGAGATGAATATCGGGAGACAAAACAAAGATAGTTGTTGCTTCAGGACTGGTCTGCGTCAACACCTGAACTAAGGATAGGGAGTGAAGTAGTCGAACGAGTTGACAACTTCACTTATCTTGGAAGTCTGATCAGCCCTAATGGGTTGGTGTCTGACGAAATCTCAGCACGGATTCGTAAAGCTCGTTTGGCCAACTTACGTCACCTTTGGCGGAGGCGAGATATCCGTCTATCAATAAAAGGACGAGTATACTGCGCGGCTGTTCGTTCTGTTTTAATTTACGGCAGCGAAACATGGCCCTTAAGAGTAGAAGACACCCGTAAGCTACTAGTATTTGACCACAGATGCCTTAGAAATATTGCTGGCGTCTGCTGGGATCACCGGGTAAGTAATAGTGAGGTTAGACGCAGGGTATTAGGGAATGATGGTAAATCAGTTGTTGAGGTTATGAATCTTCATCGACTGAGATGGTTGGGCCACGTATTACGTATGCCTGTACACCGATTACCACGACGTGCAATGCTAACCGGTGTAGGGGATAGTTGGAAGAAAGTTAGGGGTGGCCAAACCAAAACGTAGCATCAGTGCCTGAAGTCACTAACTTGTAGTCTGAGCCATGTTGGTAGATGCAGACTACCTGGTTGGGGTCCGCGTGACTTTCGTAACCAATGGTTGGAGACTCTTGTTGACATGGCTCAGAATCGATCACAATGGCGTCGGTGTATACACTCTCTGTCTTCTCTTAAACTAAGAGATTAAGATCACTTCACATCTTTCTTTCTACGAACTAATTCTTTCTTCCTATACTATATCCTTATTGCAATCTTTCTCCTATATATTACCACCTTTGACCTAACCACTCCTATGAATCCGGTGTTCATCTTGCTGTGCTAATGAGGTATGGCAACCTGGGCCGATGCATACATGTGCCTGGTCCTACGTTGTAGCTGACTGACTGACTGAAACAAAGATATAAGGTTAATAGTTGAAATGATTATTGAAAAAAACAATAGTAACGTAATCATAATAATGGTGATAATAGTTGAAGTATGTATGAGAAAAAGAGTGACTAAATTAATAGGAGGTTATACATTCTGTTGAATAATGTCAGAATTATTAGGCTCATTGTAATCAACGTAAATCATGAATGAAGATATGACTAAAACAAGTGGTGTCATGATAACCACAAAAAGTGTGTTCGAACAAACAAAGCAAACAGTAACTTTTAAAAAGGCGGAAAGGGACAAGGAAGAGAATGTTAGTGGCGAAGCTGTCACATTCTCAGTGCTAAGTGATCCACAAGTTCTTCGTGTATGTATAGACTGACTGAAGCGAAAAACAACATTTGTTTCTATCAATCAAGATCGAGTCCATCTGTATATGTTCAGAGATTCTCTTTGATGTTATCTACGTTCTTCCAACGTACGTGTGAATATGAAGATACGATTTTAGATAACTAAAAGAAGCCTTTTGGTTGTATTTGTGATTATCAGGTTGATATATCTCAGTCGGTCCTTAGCCGACGATTTTAGACATACTAGTGAGATCTTTGAATGGAAGTTTGACAAATGTTTTCATTTTACGAACAGTGGTTTCCTACTGCATCATTTGTCGACTTAGAACTCTGGTTTATGAACTGCATGGGATAATGATTTTCGATGAATTTCTTCCAGATGAATCGCACTTTGTTGTTTTGAGTATCTTCGCAACACAATCTGGTTACCGTTCAGAATATTCTGACAAGTATCCTTTCATATGCATTTCAATAAAAGCTGCTGGTTTGTGAATATTACCCTGTACAGAAAGTAGTACATTAAGTGATTAAGTCTGAGGAATTAATTGTAATTCGTGTTCGACGCTCGAACGTCAATTTTAAATTCAACTTAGCCAGATTTAAACGTCTAAATACATCACTATGATCAAGTTTATTGCATAGGATGAGAGTAACATTAACATATTTCAAATACGAAGATATTTGCGTCTTGAATCCTTTACATTTCTAGTTGTACAATGAATACAACGACATATATAGTGGCCCAATGAACTCATCATCTCAGTACCTGTTTATCTATAATTTCCATTGAAGTGAAACTGAACATTTTTCTAAGTGGAGAAACAATAATTATTTTATAAATAAAAATAATATATCCGTAATATCCCAATGAGTAGAAAATTGGATTTTCTGACGTTTCGTGACTTAGTGTAAGTCACTTCTTCAGAGAATAAATAACCAAATTATTCTTGCATTGTTCCGTTGTACTATTTAAACTTGGATTGATTTTAATTTGGTTATTTATTCTCTGAAGAAGTGACTTACACTAAGTCACGAAACGCCAGAAAATCCAATTTTCTACTCATTGGGATATTACAAATATATTATTTTTATTTATAACAATCAACCCAATGCTCAATTTATTCGAAATTATCAAATCAAACCTTGGTAATGACACCTACAAATAATTATTTTACTAAATGGAATACACCTATTATGACATTAAATAAGAAAGAAAGATTAGTTCAGCGAAGAGTTCTCTTTTCGGCGAATTCATTTTCTAATACCTTTGTTTATTTAACCTCACCGTCACCATGTATAACATAAGTTTATTTTCAGTATTATTATCACCCTGTAAAAATAAGTATATATATTTGCGATTGTACAGCTTTGAAAATGAATTCGCCGAAAAGAGAAGTCTTCGCTGAACTAATCTTTCTTTCTTAATTATTTTACTCTATATATAAACAATTTAATCTTATTAGTGCACTTTAATATAATGTCAGTAGTCTATTTTTCTTGTTTACTTCGGTGATGTATTGTGATTTACTACTCTTACAAAGTAACTCTAAAAACTTTTTTTTCTTCAATTTTTAACAACGTATCATGTGTTAGTTAGTGTTTGATTATTTAGCATATGTAGATATTCTGTCATACAATTATTGGAGAATATTACTGAAATATATATGCAATCTGCAAAATTATAATACCGAAGTAACTAAAGTTGTAAATATGAATCACCATGTAAGCTTGAAGCCGTTCTTGTATGTATGTATTAAGTAAAAATTAATGGATATTTGATAATAGAATCCGAATTTTCCTACTAGATTTTTTCCTTTATTAAATAGGAATTTTAATAAAAAAGAATAGGAATTGAATTGATCAGATGTTGATACAAATGGGAAATTTGTTTTTCAGTTATTATATTTGAATAATATTCCTATAAAAGTCAGGCCTTTATATATTTCAGATTTGACACATTCAAAAAAGAAAAGAAAACGAAAGAACAGAAGTCCTACGGATAGTTCTGATAGCACTTCTTGTAGTTCAAATCATTTAAAACAAAAACCAAAATCGTTAATTGAAGAAGAAGTGATCACATCATTTACTGGCGATCCGGTTGTTTATCCTCCATGTGTACGTCTAATGGTACTAGCATCACAATATGCTCAAACAGGACAACTTTTTATCATTACAAGTCAAGAGTCAATTGAAGGCAAGGGTTGTATTGGCAAGTCGTCTCATTTATGCCCATATGCACATTTAACAAATGACCCAGAGATAAGTGAAGTAAGTAAAATAATTAACGATAAAAAATAATCCATACACTATGATAAACAAAACCGTAGCATTACATAAAATTATATATATACATTCATATACATGTAAGAGTTGGACTACGGAAAAGGCGGATGATGATCGTTGTGGCGATGATCTGTCTGATGTAATTGGATGTGATGATTTGTGTTTGATGTGTGATGTGGATCATTGTGTTATTGTCCGTATAGTGTTGGTGGGTATGAAGCGGTGGCTGGCACTTGTTGCTTACTGAGAGAAGTGTTGTTCACGGAGATGCATTGTACCAGTATGATGTGTTTGTTATGAGTTGATGATTAGGTGTTGTGAATAGTATTAGTACAGTGTATTGTGTGGAATGATGCTAATCGGTGTGTTGTGTGATGTGTGTTCTGCATGATGGATAGTGTTAATTTAGCGCGATAGAATTGCCAAAGTTGAGTGTGATGTTGGATATGATCTACTGAAATGATGTAAAGTAGTATAAGTGGGTAGTGTTTGTAAAAATTGTAATTGATGTTTCCGTGTGTATTTGTGTATATGATGGTGATTTTTGTTGAGAATTGGGTTGTAGTTATAAATGTTTATGTGGTGAGAGTGTTATATGGTGATGCGAATGGTTGTATATGTTGTATGTGTGAAACGTTTGCTAATTGATGATTGAGTGTAATGTGTTGAAGTATAATAGGTTGGTTATTGTTGAATGGTGTGTTTAAACTTACTTGGCGCCGGGACCAGGGTGATCACGAATGCTCTGGCCCCAGGTGGAGGCTCGCCATTGCACTCCGGCGTGTTGAAGCCTGCGACGATCCCTAATCGGGCTCGCTCGGACGCGTAGTTTTTGTCAGTGGGGAGGTCTTCGGATCATCCCTTTGAATAGCAATATAATTCTCTTTAAACTTGGCCACTGCAAACCACACGCTATCTAACATCAACATCTGCCACACCATACACATATTCAGACTTATCAAAACCCACCTAATCATCAACTTCCTCACTCTGTACACTAAACACCTGGCATATACTCTACTTTCATTGCACAATATGAAACATCATTCACCCACAACACTCAAACAACTGCCTCCACAAATAACTACTGACACCACTTCACTCATTCCATAAACACCAGCTCTTATACAACTCAACAGACAGACACTGGGCCACTGGTGCTTCGCATTACCGCATACCATGACATCCTCATTCTCCGTGCAAATTACCATCAAGCGAACTTCACACTCATCTAGTTCACTAGACCAGTTCATATACTTGGTCATGGTTGCGTTGTGATTGTGATGAGACTATTGCATTCGATGACAATTATCCTATGTCACAATGTATATGTGTATGTATGGGTCGTTCCTAATTCAACATTGTTAGTTGATGTGTCCGAGTCCTGTGAGTAGTGGTGCTGTCGCTACAGGGGAATAAGTAGAGAAGTATATGGTAATGCGGTGTAGTTGGAATGACTTGACAAAGCTTTGAATACGTACAGCTGACTTCAGTGACATTGATGTTTGTGGTTGTGGTAAATGTAATCACGTATGATATTTGTGTCACTATATATATATACATGCGTTCAGGCGGCTTGTTAATCGTTGATGGTCTTGGGAACAGGTGAATGATGATCGTTGTGGCGATGATCTGTCTGATGTAATTGGATGTGATGATTTGTGTTTGATGTGTGATGTGGATCATTGTGTTATTGTCCGTATAGTGTTGGTGGGTATGAAGCGGTGGCTGGCACTTGTTGCTTACTGAGAGAAGTGTTGTTCACGGAGATGCATTGTACCAGTATGATGTGTTTGTTATGAGTTGATGATTAGGTGTTGTGAATAGTATTAGTACAGTGTATTGTGTGGAATGATGCTAATCGGTGTGTTGTGTGATGTGTGTTCTGCATGATGGATAGTGTTAATTTAGCGCGATAGAATTGCCAAAGTTGAGTGTGATGTTGGATATGATCTACTGAAATGATGTAAAGTAGTATAAGTGGGTAGTGTTTGTAAAAATTGTAATTGATGTTTCCGTGTGTATTTGTGTATATGATGGTGATTTTTGTTGAGAATTGGGTTGTAGTTATAAATGTTTATGTGGTGAGAGTGTTATATGGTGATGCGAATGGTTGTATATGTTGTATGTGTGAAACGTTTGCTAATTGATGATTGAGTGTAATGTGTTGAAGTATAATAGGTTGGTTATTGTTGAATGGTGTGTTTAAACTTACTTGGCGCCGGGACCAGGGTGATCACGAATGCTCTGGCCCCAGGTGGAGGCTCGCCATTGCACTCCGGCGTGTTGAAGCCTGCGACGATCCCTAATCGGGCTCGCTCGGACGCGTAGTTTTTGTCAGTGGGGAGGTCTTCGGATCATCCCTTTGAATAGCAATATAATTCTCTTTAAACTTGGCCACTGCAAACCACACGCTATCTAACATCAACATCTGCCACACCATACACATATTCAGACTTATCAAAACCCACCTAATCATCAACTTCCTCACTCTGTACACTAAACACCTGGCATATACTCTACTTTCATTGCACAATATGAAACATCATTCACCCACAACACTCAAACAACTGCCTCCACAAATAACTACTGACACCACTTCACTCATTCCATAAACACCAGCTCTTATACAACTCAACAGACAGACACTGGGCCACTGGTGCTTCGCATTACCGCATACCATGACATCCTCATTCTCCGTGCAAATTACCATCAAGCGAACTTCACACTCATCTAGTTCACTAGACCAGTTCATATACTTGGTCATGGTTGCGTTGTGATTGTGATGAGACTATTGCATTCGATGACAATTATCCTATGTCACAATGTATATGTGTATGTATGGGTCGTTCCTAATTCAACATTGTTAGTTGATGTGTCCGAGTCCTGTGAGTAGTGGTGCTGTCGCTACAGGGGAATAAGTAGAGAAGTATATGGTAATGCGGTGTAGTTGGAATGACTTGACAAAGCTTTGAATACGTACAGCTGACTTCAGTGACATTGATGTTTGTGGTTGTGGTAAATGTAATCACGTATGATATTTGTGTCACTATATATATATACATGCGTTCAGGCGGCTTGTTAATCGTTGATGGTCTTGGGAACAGGTGAATGATGATCGTTGTGGCGATGATCTGTCTGATGTAATTGGATGTGATGATTTGTGTTTGATGTGTGATGTGGATCATTGTGTTATTGTCCGTATAGTGTTGGTGGGTATGAAGCGGTGGCTGGCACTTGTTGCTTACTGAGAGAAGTGTTGTTCACGGAGATGCATTGTACCAGTATGATGTGTTTGTTATGAGTTGATGATTAGGTGTTGTGAATAGTATTAGTACAGTGTATTGTGTGGAATGATGCTAATCGGTGTGTTGTGTGATGTGTGTTCTGCATGATGGATAGTGTTAATTTAGCGCGATAGAATTGCCAAAGTTGAGTGTGATGTTGGATATGATCTACTGAAATGATGTAAAGTAGTATAAGTGGGTAGTGTTTGTAAAAATTGTAATTGATGTTTCCGTGTGTATTTGTGTATATGATGGTGATTTTTGTTGAGAATTGGGTTGTAGTTATAAATGTTTATGTGGTGAGAGTGTTATATGGTGATGCGAATGGTTGTATATGTTGTATGTGTGAAACGTTTGCTAATTGATGATTGAGTGTAATGTGTTGAAGTATAATAGGTTGGTTATTGTTGAATGGTGTGTTTAAACTTACTTGGCGCCGGGACCAGGGTGATCACGAATGCTCTGGCCCCAGGTGGAGGCTCGCCATTGCACTCCGGCGTGTTGAAGCCTGCGACGATCCCTAATCGGGCTCGCTCGGACGCGTAGTTTTTGTCAGTGGGGAGGTCTTCGGATCATCCCTTTGAATAGCAATATAATTCTCTTTAAACTTGGCCACTGCAAACCACACGCTATCTAACATCAACATCTGCCACACCATACACATATTCAGACTTATCAAAACCCACCTAATCATCAACTTCCTCACTCTGTACACTAAACACCTGGCATATACTCTACTTTCATTGCACAATATGAAACATCATTCACCCACAACACTCAAACAACTGCCTCCACAAATAACTACTGACACCACTTCACTCATTCCATAAACACCAGCTCTTATACAACTCAACAGACAGACACTGGGCCACTGGTGCTTCGCATTACCGCATACCATGACATCCTCATTCTCCGTGCAAATTACCATCAAGCGAACTTCACACTCATCTAGTTCACTAGACCAGTTCATATACTTGGTCATGGTTGCGTTGTGATTGTGATGAGACTATTGCATTCGATGACAATTATCCTATGTCACAATGTATATGTGTATGTATGGGTCGTTCCTAATTCAACATTGTTAGTTGATGTGTCCGAGTCCTGTGAGTAGTGGTGCTGTCGCTACAGGGGAATAAGTAGAGAAGTATATGGTAATGCGGTGTAGTTGGAATGACTTGACAAAGCTTTGAATACGTACAGCTGACTTCAGTGACATTGATGTTTGTGGTTGTGGTAAATGTAATCACGTATGATATTTGTGTCACTATATATATATACATGCGTTCAGGCGGCTTGTTAATCGTTGATGGTCTTGGGAACAGGTGAATGATGATCGTTGTGGCGATGATCTGTCTGATGTAATTGGATGTGATGATTTGTGTTTGATGTGTGATGTGGATCATTGTGTTATTGTCCGTATAGTGTTGGTGGGTATGAAGCGGTGGCTGGCACTTGTTGCTTACTGAGAGAAGTGTTGTTCACGGAGATGCATTGTACCAGTATGATGTGTTTGTTATGAGTTGATGATTAGGTGTTGTGAATAGTATTAGTACAGTGTATTGTGTGGAATGATGCTAATCGGTGTGTTGTGTGATGTGTGTTCTGCATGATGGATAGTGTTAATTTAGCGCGATAGAATTGCCAAAGTTGAGTGTGATGTTGGATATGATCTACTGAAATGATGTAAAGTAGTATAAGTGGGTAGTGTTTGTAAAAATTGTAATTGATGTTTCCGTGTGTATTTGTGTATATGATGGTGATTTTTGTTGAGAATTGGGTTGTAGTTATAAATGTTTATGTGGTGAGAGTGTTATATGGTGATGCGAATGGTTGTATATGTTGTATGTGTGAAACGTTTGCTAATTGATGATTGAGTGTAATGTGTTGAAGTATAATAGGTTGGTTATTGTTGAATGGTGTGTTTAAACTTACTTGGCGCCGGGACCAGGGTGATCACGAATGCTCTGGCCCCAGGTGGAGGCTCGCCATTGCACTCCGGCGTGTTGAAGCCTGCGACGATCCCTAATCGGGCTCGCTCGGACGCGTAGTTTTTGTCAGTGGGGAGGTCTTCGGATCATCCCTTTGAATAGCAATATAATTCTCTTTAAACTTGGCCACTGCAAACCACACGCTATCTAACATCAACATCTGCCACACCATACACATATTCAGACTTATCAAAACCCACCTAATCATCAACTTCCTCACTCTGTACACTAAACACCTGGCATATACTCTACTTTCATTGCACAATATGAAACATCATTCACCCACAACACTCAAACAACTGCCTCCACAAATAACTACTGACACCACTTCACTCATTCCATAAACACCAGCTCTTATACAACTCAACAGACAGACACTGGGCCACTGGTGCTTCGCATTACCGCATACCATGACATCCTCATTCTCCGTGCAAATTACCATCAAGCGAACTTCACACTCATCTAGTTCACTAGACCAGTTCATATACTTGGTCATGGTTGCGTTGTGATTGTGATGAGACTATTGCATTCGATGACAATTATCCTATGTCACAATGTATATGTGTATGTATGGGTCGTTCCTAATTCAACATTGTTAGTTGATGTGTCCGAGTCCTGTGAGTAGTGGTGCTGTCGCTACAGGGGAATAAGTAGAGAAGTATATGGTAATGCGGTGTAGTTGGAATGACTTGACAAAGCTTTGAATACGTACAGCTGACTTCAGTGACATTGATGTTTGTGGTTGTGGTAAATGTAATCACGTATGATATTTGTGTCACTATATATATATACATGCGTTCAGGCGGCTTGTTAATCGTTGATGGTCTTGGGAACAGGTGAATGATGATCGTTGTGGCGATGATCTGTCTGATGTAATTGGATGTGATGATTTGTGTTTGATGTGTGATGTGGATCATTGTGTTATTGTCCGTATAGTGTTGGTGGGTATGAAGCGGTGGCTGGCACTTGTTGCTTACTGAGAGAAGTGTTGTTCACGGAGATGCATTGTACCAGTATGATGTGTTTGTTATGAGTTGATGATTAGGTGTTGTGAATAGTATTAGTACAGTGTATTGTGTGGAATGATGCTAATCGGTGTGTTGTGTGATGTGTGTTCTGCATGATGGATAGTGTTAATTTAGCGCGATAGAATTGCCAAAGTTGAGTGTGATGTTGGATATGATCTACTGAAATGATGTAAAGTAGTATAAGTGGGTAGTGTTTGTAAAAATTGTAATTGATGTTTCCGTGTGTATTTGTGTATATGATGGTGATTTTTGTTGAGAATTGGGTTGTAGTTATAAATGTTTATGTGGTGAGAGTGTTATATGGTGATGCGAATGGTTGTATATGTTGTATGTGTGAAACGTTTGCTAATTGATGATTGAGTGTAATGTGTTGAAGTATAATAGGTTGGTTATTGTTGAATGGTGTGTTTAAACTTACTTGGCGCCGGGACCAGGGTGATCACGAATGCTCTGGCCCCAGGTGGAGGCTCGCCATTGCACTCCGGCGTGTTGAAGCCTGCGACGATCCCTAATCGGGCTCGCTCGGACGCGTAGTTTTTGTCAGTGGGGAGGTCTTCGGATCATCCCTTTGAATAGCAATATAATTCTCTTTAAACTTGGCCACTGCAAACCACACGCTATCTAACATCAACATCTGCCACACCATACACATATTCAGACTTATCAAAACCCACCTAATCATCAACTTCCTCACTCTGTACACTAAACACCTGGCATATACTCTACTTTCATTGCACAATATGAAACATCATTCACCCACAACACTCAAACAACTGCCTCCACAAATAACTACTGACACCACTTCACTCATTCCATAAACACCAGCTCTTATACAACTCAACAGACAGACACTGGGCCACTGGTGCTTCGCATTACCGCATACCATGACATCCTCATTCTCCGTGCAAATTACCATCAAGCGAACTTCACACTCATCTAGTTCACTAGACCAGTTCATATACTTGGTCATGGTTGCGTTGTGATTGTGATGAGACTATTGCATTCGATGACAATTATCCTATGTCACAATGTATATGTGTATGTATGGGTCGTTCCTAATTCAACATTGTTAGTTGATGTGTCCGAGTCCTGTGAGTAGTGGTGCTGTCGCTACAGGGGAATAAGTAGAGAAGTATATGGTAATGCGGTGTAGTTGGAATGACTTGACAAAGCTTTGAATACGTACAGCTGACTTCAGTGACATTGATGTTTGTGGTTGTGGTAAATGTAATCACGTATGATATTATTTCACTATATATGTATACCCTAATGAAATATTCTGTGATTTAACGTCAGTTGCTTCCGATAATCTGTTGTTTTTCCTTTCTTCATTTTTAGTTGCATTGTGAAGTTATTTACGATACAGATAGTCGTCAATATTCTCTACTGGATAGAGGTTCTAATTTCAGTACCACTATCAATGGTATTACTTTGGCAAAAGTAATTCTTACGTTTTTTTTTATCTTTTATGTATTTACCTTAGAATATGTTCGTTTATTGATTTATCTGATTTATTAGTTTTGTTCTTCTTAGTTTTTATTGATTATTGATAATGTTCAAAATAATTTTTTACCATATTCAGATATACGTTAACAATTAGTTTCTGCTTAAAAATAAATTTTGATTGTTTATTCATAAATTCCTTTCCTGCATCCGTAACAAGTAGTTTTCTAATACAATTAATGTATACATTTCTAAGAGTTACGATAACCTATAAATTTCTTATCTATTCTTTAATTTTACTGATTAGAACATTAGGAAGATCAAACAAGTTAAATAAATAAATGGAATATCTAGAGCATTTTTCTAAATTGTCTATAAGCATGACAATTTTGTGAAAGTAGGTGACAAATATGTGATTTTAATGAAACTAGTTTGTTATTTTTCATAATGGATATTTTGGTGTGTTAAATAAAGAGAGATAGATAGTTTATGTCCTCCATGTATGGAAACATTCAGTTATTGTGAATACATTCAATGAGATGCAATTAGTTGGACACTGATACTTATTGATAGATTAGTAATAAAAAGAAAAACACATTCATTAACTTTTGTATTCATTTCTATGTCAAATGTAATATCTGACAATATCAAGATGTATTTGATTGATGATAAAATACGATCCTGACTACTTTTGATATTTTTTATTGGTTACTATACTTTTCTGTTTAAATCTAATTAGTGGGTAACTTTAATAAATAATATAACTCCGACTGTAACCTCAAGCCTCATCTGATTACAGGAGTTTAGTAAGAAGAACATAAACACATACCTACATAACATCATACATTTTACAGTAAATGATCTTCATTAATGCTTTAAACAGAATCAACATTTGAATGTTGTTGGAAAATTGTCTGATGTGAACTGTTCTTTTTTTCCAATATAAAATTCATCTGTCTTAAATAATTTTGCTTTTACTCATTCCAATAAAAAAGAACCTGGGGTCACCAGAGTACCATCGAATGAAAAACTATATCAAGACTATGGAATTCTAGTGGCTATGATTGGTTGTTTTTCTATCTAAACATAAATATACAAATTTTATACCGAATTTTATTCTATCCAGTTTTGGTTTTCAATAATACTTTCAAATGAATCAGATGACTTAGCCCTCCTATCGCATACACACGAACAAATGAAGATAAAGACAGCCAGTGTAGCAGCAGTCTCTGTATCAGTAGACCTCAACATACAAAAGGGGAAAATCAAGGTCTTCAAATACAACACGGAGAGCATCAATCCAACTGCACTTGATGGTGAAACTCTGGAAGATGTAGAATCCTTCACGTACCTGGGAAGCAGCATTGATGAAAAAGGAGGATCAAATGCAGACGTAAAGGCAAGGATTGGCAAACCAAGGACAACATTCCTACAATTGAAGAACATATGGAACTCAAAACAACTTTCAACCAATATCAAATTGAGAATCTTCAATACGAATGTCAAGGCAGTTCTACTATACGGAGCTGAAACTTGGAGAACTACAACAACCATCATCAAGAAGGTACAAGTATTTATAAATAGTTGTCTACACAAGATACTCAACATCTATTGGCCGGATACCATCAGCAACAGCCTTCTGTAGCAGAGAACAAACCAGCTGTAGAGGAAATGAGGAAAAGACGATAGAAATAGATAGGACCTACATTACGCAAATCATCAAACTGAATCACGAGGCAAGCCCTAACATGGAATCCTGAAGAGAAGCGGAAAAGAGGAAGGCCAAAGAACACATTACGTCGGGAAATAGAATAAGGTATTAAAAGGATGAATAACAACTGGAAAGAGCTGGACAGGGTTGAATGGAGAATGCTGGTGAGCGTCCTATGCTCCTTCACGAGGAGTAACAGGCGTGAGTCAGTGAATGAGTTTCAAATCAATGTCTTTTCATGACAAGAGTACATATATTTTGAAATGTCCATATTTCTTTTCTTTTTTTCTTTTATTTAAGTGTAAATCATCAATATTACGTCATGGTGATATAATACGATTAGGTTCAACCCGTTTACTTGTACACATACATAATGGTAATGAAACATGTGGACAATGTGATCCAGACGAGATTAAGGCTGCTTTAACTTCAATTATAGATGTCAATGAAACAATCAGTTCTACAAATGATGATATGAATACAGAAAATCTAACTGAAACTATACCGAGTAATTAATTATAAAAACCTTTTTTGTCTATGTCTATGTATTATTTAGAACATGATTTCTTCTAACTGAGAAATTATGCATTTAATTATATTGATCTTGGTGGAGTTTTGTTCTTTGAGCTGGGTCGTTTGGTCGTGGAGCTTTCATCATTCTTCTGAACGACATCATCAGCACAAACTTCAACCATCCAGCTCAGCGAACAAAACTCCACCAAAATCATCCACCTGAGCTACAAATCTTCTCCACCATCGCAAAATTATATTGATCATAAAGCAGGTAAATATAATTGATTATATTGAATAATCTGGTTATTTAGCCAGCAAACTGAAGTTGAAAGTGTAAACCATTCAATTACAATTGATTGGTTCAATGCTATGATGTTCACTATGTAACTTATAAAATCCTGGGTTTATTGTTTTCTGAAATTTGCGTTCATATTACTGAGGAGAATTAAACTATAATGAAATAGTTTAGTTCTTTCTAGATTTTTATCAGCTATTATTTTCATTTCATAATTGAGATAATCTTGGTAGCAATACTTTCTTCTTCTTTTTCTTCTTCTTCTCCTTCTTCTAAATGACCAAATTTTGTTTTTTTGTCTTCCTTTCCAATCATCGAACTCAACAATAAAACAGCACATTCATCAAAAGATGCTGAAAGACGTGCAAAATTAGATGAAATAAAGAAAAAATATGGTTTAAAGGTAAGTTATGTGTTTCGTTTTGTTTTCCTCTTATTATTCTAAATAGAACGGAATCTTCCATGTTAGTACAATTTACCTTCTTGGATAATAATATTTGTTATTATTATGTTAAATAAATAAATGATCAGTATTAGTCCTAATTGTAGAAAATGCAAATTATGCTGGAGAATCGCTGATGTGTGATTTCTTTTTGTCTATTGTCAAATTAAACAATTTAATAATTCGGCTTTGAATTTGTACACTAAGTTTTAAATGTAGCGATACTGATTAGAAAGCCTAGGTTGCATAGAGTAATACAAACCTCCAATTTACAGATAACATATTAAATGATCAATCATTTTGAGTTTCATTGGTTAAAATGTAGAGCGTAATTTTAATAGTTTTATTCAGCTTCATCCAGCTTTCTGATTGATCAACTTGTCTAGGTATTGAGAATATACAATAAGAAATGTTAATTTTAGCGTAATTAAAGTATTTAAGTTGTAGATCATTTTTTGTTCTTTATGATATACTTTTGTGAAACCCGAATGACGTTATCTTTAGGGTAACTTTCATAAACTGACATTTTAATAAGTATATCTGACAATCTTATTTTAGTATCTATGTTCGGAATGAATGATGCTTTTGTTTGGATAGTTTAAAGTTGAATGATATACTTAATATATCATCCTAATAACTGAGCTACACAAAACTGGTTATATTCGACATTAATATTACGAAACAATCGGGATATTGAAAACATTATATTGACACTGATTAGTTTGTCACTGAGCTGTTTAGTCTTAGTAAAATCTTGTTTAAACATTACTGTCATTAATTCACCTATATTTTTCTACGTTAGAATCTTGTCATCTGATTTTGAATAGCATTATCGAGATTAAAACTCTTCGGGTACTGACAAATATTTTTAATACCTTTTTTTGCTAAACCTGTGTAAACTATTCTTACTTTGATAAATTCATGTTAGCTTACACTGGTTTTAATTAGCAATTTAATAAAAGTAAAGTTTATTGAGTTGTAAAAATTTGACTTAAGTTAGAAATGTGAATCATAAGATATCAATTCAATTATCTCAAGGCGTCATGCTTACCGTGAGCCCTAGAGTCTTCAGTTTAATCTCTCTTGTAGTTGCGGTTACGTACTGTTGAGAAGTCTCATACTAGAATGGAACAGTTGTTTCTCTCTCCCTGGTATGGAATAGTTGTTTAACTAAAGTCAACTCATTATGTATATAATCTTCAAAAACAATTAAATTAAGCAAGTTTTTTCTAAAAATCACTTTGTTTACCTTTCGATCAATAGTTTCCACGAATAAGACCTCAGGCAAAGACAGACAGACAATATATGGATCGTGCTGCACAACGACGTGCAATCGAAGCAAATTTAAAAGCAGCAGGTTATCCATTACCTCCTGCACCAGGTGTAATAAAACAGCAACTTATTAAAACTCCACTAATAACTCGAGCAACACCAGCCAGTGTATATAAACCTATTGGAGATGAAAATAAAGGAGCTAAATTATTAGCTAAAATGGGTTGGACACCTGGTCAAGGATTGGGTAAAAGTAAAACTGGAATTTCAGAACCGGTAATTGTTTTTTACTAGTTTGATTCTATTTTTACTATTTAATTCTTCTTTAACCTAAAAAGTAATGATAACTGGTAAATTTTTTGTAGACTGGTGATTAATGAGCAACTATTTCCTACTTGTTCAAACTTCTTTAAGCGTGCACCATCTCGTTTTTTTAAATATTAAGATATATGAAATAGTCAAGTTTGACTAGAAGAAAAAATCCTATTCAAAGCGTTGCAATTAAATGACAAGTAATCAGTTACAAGCGAAATATGTTTATGGATAGTGAAATTTAGCTTTAAGTACAAATCCCTTGAACACTGTTTCCTGGCCTAGTTCATTAAATTTTACTCATCAGGTTTATTAGGTTGTCAGACGAATATTTCAGTACTGTATTTTATGATAAGCCATTTTGGAAGTTGAAGATGATAACGTTCGATTTTTCTTTGTATTCACTTTATGTTAGTGAAAAACTTGTATACACAATGACTCAACTATACTTCAGAAACGCTTTTCATAGTATCAAACAGATTACAGTATATTTTGAAAAAAATCAGCGTTATGGCAAAATAATTGACTGATTACATATTGAGATAGTGGACGTGGTTGAAGTGATAATTTGTTAGTTACCGATTCGGGACTTTCAATCGAAGAGATTTCAGACTACACAACCATTGGCTCATTATATGAATATATTGTTGAAATGTAACCCATAAATTAGGGGGTTTATATACCATTCATCTTTGAGCCACTCGACTTGTCTGAGACTTATTGGTTTTATCTGGCTGCCCAAACCGAAATAAGTAAAGTGAGATTCGGACTTGCGACTTACAAGCTAACAGCCTAGTACTTCAACCACTAGGCCATTATTTCAATTTATTGGTGAATTAAAGGTATCATCGATCGATAAAAGGTTCATGCAAAATAAGATGACTTTTCATATGACATGACTAGTATATAAGGTTTACATGAAAATCACACATCTACTCTAAATAGACATTTCAATTAAACAATTACCCAGCTCAAATAACGTACTACCAGTAAAAGTTTCCCTAAACACGATTGCTCTAAAGTTTGAATTTTCCAAACAAGGTCGATATTATCATTGTAAAATCTAAATATTCTCAATTATCCCTAAATAGTTATGACAAATTGAAAAATAGAATAAAATATACATAAACAAGATAACGTAATGGTTAAAGTGCTTGATGTGTTTTACCACTAAGTTGTAATATCTAACCCACTCTCTATCAAAATATAATATAGTTTAAATAATTAAATAGTGTCGAATCAGTGTATACACAAATAAAGTGTGCAGTAAAGTCAGGTACATTAACCTTTACTAAGTTAAAGTATTACATTAAATAACTATTCTCTGTTTTATAATATATATGTTTCTTGTTTATCTGAAAGACTTGAATAATAAAGTGTTTTGTTTTCACCTTTTTGGATCTTTTCTTTAATAACTTGTTGTACACTACCAATGACGACGTTACTCAACTCCACTGTATGTCACACTATTCAAGATAACTGTTAGTTTACGTGTCAATCCACAAGCTGGTCTTGGTTCAAGCAGTTTATCAAACAATACAATACCGATTGATTCAACACCAAGAGAATTATCACAAGCATATATTCGTGCAAAAACAAAAGAACGCTTTGATAAATTATCATAATTATCATTATTATGAAATGTATTCAATAGTTGGAAAGGTTATGCGTTTAATGAATTTAAAGAATTAAATTATATAAGAGAAGAAATGTATATTTTATAAATAGAATTTTTATTATTGACTTATTTGTTATTGATAATAGTCTTTTCATTCAGATATAAAAGCGTTTCGAGTGTCAAAACTACAATGGGAATTGAAATTTACTGACTGATATAATCTGGGATATTCTCTAAAGACAAGTTAGATAAAAAGATGACTGTATGTGATAGATTGTACGCTTGTGTTAAGCGATTAACAATCGATTGAAAAGTCAAATTTGTATCCAATAAATACTTATGTAAATACTTTATAGAATAGGCAAATAATATGATAGTTCCTATTTTAATATTTCTGGTCATTGTTACTCGAACATACTGGAATATAAATTCCAGATTGTCCTATTCATTTGGAAATTTTTCCAATCCCAAAACCCGTTTCAGTTAATATGGGCACGCTAGCTTGATAGCTTTGATAACAGCAGACATTTTCATGATGTTTTCCATTATACCCAAGTTCGTAACTGGAAAAATCCCAAAATGGATAGAAGGTGGTCAATTAATCCCAAAGAAACTTGTTAAGTATCATCGGGTGGCCTCAGTGATGAAATATTTGCAGGTAAAATACGCGATTAAGTTAAATTATATACCAGATTTAAAGCCACCAGGAGCCATAATCTCTTAAGAAAAATGTCTATTAAATACTATAGACCGGTCACTAAGCAATTCCCTGAAATACAAGATATACTACTATGAAGACCACCTGTTACTGAGACATTGCGAACAACTTGATAAGACCCAATGATTTATTGAAGGACAACAATTGACAACCAGGTTCAAAGATGTACATATATTACTGTTTTCCCGGTTTCTTTTTAGACTTAGTGCTATTCTCTGATTAATGACATGCATGTCCAGAAGGACCCAAAGAAAGTATCATACCAAATGTCTTAATCACATCCATCCATAATTAGCCAGCAGGTCGTAAATATTGCTTTCACCTATTCAACAGTTCTATCGTTTAACTTTATGTACGGGTATTTGCTGTCATGAATGTTTGTAAGCCTCTGGGAAAACACAGACAGTTGTGCTGGATGTTTCTATAAAATCTCCATTTTGGAATGTATTACAAACCCAAATGTAAGACTCAATCCCTCTCTATTCTTGTTCACATGTTCTAGTTTAGTTAAAAATGGAAAAACAGACCTTCTGAAAGACTGATTAGTCCTTCTGAGATTATTTCTCATGAGGTCTGCTCACTGACAAAAAGCCAATTTAACGGTCGCAGATGGTGCTTGAAACCAAAGGAAACTTTTGTAACAGGATTAAGACTACACTGTTCTAGTCCCAACTCTTAAACCGTCTTAGTCTTGGGCTTGTGTTATTGCTGATTGTTCCCCATTGCCTTCCTATTAAAAGCAAGTGTATTTTGTGTGTCCGCTGAGTTGTCGGCCGACGTTTGATGACATTCTTTGTGCACACTACTCAGAACGTTCTTCTTTTGCCCACATATAAACTACCTTCAGGCTGGACACGAAGCACTACGTACCAATTCTGCTTCACATTTGAAGGCAATGAATTTCCGCTTACTACTTTGATTATTTGAAAGCATCTGCATATTCGAAAGCGAAAGCTTGTTTCTCGACTATGTAGACCAAAAAACAATAATGACCAATAGCATCCTTGTAAGAGCGTTACAAAACGTACAGGAGTGTGTAAAAAGGTACTATTGGAAAAGATGTAGGTAAAAACTAAATCAAACATACCTGAACAATACATCCACCAACAGGTACAGACACTGTCGTAAAATAAGAAATACACAAGAAATGCTAAATGTACATAACTAATTATCAGTTATTAACGTATCTTAGACACAGGGAAAGCTCTCCGGTCTGATTGATGATAACAGAAATATTTAGGTCACACATCATTAACCGAAGTACAGTAACCCTATTTAGCAGTAAATGAATCCCAGAAATAAATAGTTCTGTAAGTGTTCGACATTGATGCTGACCTAATTAGTTTTACTAAAGACACCTAGACGAAGGCACTCGGTCACTCATCCGTACCAAACCACTATTGGGAACACCGTGTTACACATCACCTGCAACTGCTAGCCAGCTTAGACTAAAGAATTCCCGATATAACAATAGCCCTCCAAATATATGTACTCGAACCACTTTATTCCTGATTTCTGATTTGACTGTGATGGTATACTTCGATTATTAAGGTATTGCTTCTAAAGAAGTTGTCAAACTTGAGGCATATTCATTGGTAAGACCAACGTGATCTAGCACATCAAACAGTAAACTGTGAGTCTGCTTCTTGTTGGAACATCATATACACTATTTTAAATTTTTATTTTTACATATTGTGACATTGATTTTCGGATATTTTTCTCGTTCATTGGTTCATCTCGTCTTCATCATGACTGAACAGACACTTATGTTACTTAAGATTAAGACTCTTTTGCCTGCCACATTTCAACCCATGCCACTGTGGCCCGACACTATAGAAGCTTGATTCTGCTGCTCAGAAGCTGACTTCCATGAACACGGCGTGACAGACCCACATGCACAATTTCTCACAGTAGTGAAGGCATTGCCACGCGATTTTAACATGTACGCCATACCTAGTCTATTTACTTGTGATGGTTCAAAACCTTACGGAACTTCAAAGAAGGTTATTCTTAAACGTGAAGACCTATCCGATAGACAAAGATTAGAACAACTTTTCCAAAACATCGAACTGCAATATGGCTCAACGACGCAAATGTTGTCACAAATTTGAGAGGTTACAGGTCAATGGGCTTTTGACGAGGGCCTGTTTAAACAGCTCTTTCGTCCAAGCTCCCTCAAAAGGTTCAGGCAGTTCTTGTTGTAAGATCCAATACAAACGTTTTGTGTGTGTGTGAAAATCCCTTCATGTATACACTTGCACTTTGTTCCTATTGATCCCCTTAGTTGTACACTGTTAGTTTTTGATTACATTTGAATTGTTAATATTTGTGTTTTTTATTATAGTTTTTATTTTTCTTACGCCTTCACTAAAATTTTGTGTTTCTTCCCGAACTGCATCTATGTTGTTTTGCTTGATACTTGTTCTTGACGGCAGCCATATTGATTTGCTCCTCCTTTTGTGCGTGTTCTATCCAGTCAGGATAGAATGGCGTTCATTTGTTGTGACTGGTAATTTTCCCGCATCTTTTATCAACTTCTTCATTTATTGTAATTTAGATTTGATTGATTGAACAATTATTGGTTGAATAGCCGGGTGGTGATATTTGTTTAGGTAACGATGTACATTTAAATTTATGATAAATTATAGAACCACTATTTACCCGATTACTTGTTTTGATTTTGGCGGGCAAGGGTGCGTGTCTAACCTACCTGAACGGCTATTCTTCAGTCCAAACCGTAGTTTGGATTCTGCACTTGTCTCATCTCAAAATAACGCTGTAGACGAACTTGAATGCGTCTGCCGACCAGATTCTGGAGATCAAAAGAAACCCCATCGCCCGGGGGCATCAAGGACCTCCTCTATGCTCTGACTCCTTTTCTTGATATTCATCGTAATCGTATACACCCTCAAACATCTCGAAGAAGCCCGTTACTTAAAAGACCAGCCTCAAGACGGCGAGAGATAGATAATTCTTATTGGTTCTGGTAACGGGATAAGCATGGTAAGATTTCTCAAAATTTTAAGAAGCCCTGCAGTTTACCAATCTCCAAACCATCCGACAAGAGAAAATTCAGGAAGCTGCCCATCCGGTACGCGTTAACGGCAACTGTAGCCGGCGAACACAGGTGTCTGTCATAAATTGTTGATAAGATGACGAAATTTTCTCTACTTCGGCAGTGGTGCAGAAGTTAGCGTTCTTCCTGAAAATCCCAATGACCGACTTCACGAACTGGTATTCAACTTACAGGTGGCGAATGAGAAACCGATCGCCACAGGCGGTAAGCGATATGTGTAACAGTTCTCCTAGCCTTCTGCCACGTTTTCCACCTCCGGTTGTCGTAACGTATTATTTTTGCCAACAGACATAAGAAGCATACACCACACTCTCCCTCCACTAGACGGCCCCTCCTGTGGTTCCTCTGCTCGCCATGTAACTTTATTCTTTACTGCGGTCTGTGCCACGCTCCCCGTTAATATGCATCTTCGACACTGTGGTGTACCTTAGAAGATTGTCAACATTATACAGAGTTCACATGACGGACTACATTGCAAAGTCGTGTATGGAGGATAGCCGATAGATGCATTCTAAGTGAGGACCGGAGTCAAAAAAGACTGCTTACTCTCCCCCTCCCTCTTTCTTCTGGTGGTCGACTGGATTATGAAGATGATATCTGGGGGAAAGCACGGAGTGCAATAGACAACTCGGAATAAACTAGAAGATTTGAACTTCGCAGATGACCTGGCCCTTCTATCTTATACACACGAACAAATGAAGATGAAGACAACTAGTGTCGTAGCAGTCTCTACACCAGTAGGCCTCAACATACACAAAGGAAAAAGTAAGATCCTCAAATTCAGCACGGAGAACAACAAACCAATCACACTTGGTGGAGGAATTCTGGAAGAGGTGGAGACATTCACGTACCTGAGAAGCATCGACAATTAACAAGGAGGATACGATGTAGACCAAAGGCGGAGATTGGCAAAACAAGAGAAGCATTCTTATAGTTGAAGAATATACAGAACTCAAAACAACTGTCAACCGATATCAAAGTGAGAATCTTCAATACAAACATCAAGACAGCTCTATTGTACGGAGTCGGGACGTAGAGAACTACCACGACCATCATCATAAAAGTACGAGTATTTATAAACAGTTGTATAGGTATGATACTCAATATTCGTTGACCGGATACCATCAGCAACGACTTACTGTAGGAGAGAACAAACCTGCTTCCAGCGAAAGATTATATTGGCAAAGGACGTTGGAGATGGATAAAACCTACA